TGCTTGCAAATTATGTTTTTTTTTTTATTTTCTATTTTTTTTCACTGTTTACTTATAGTAATCTGCATAAAAAGATTGGTAAATTGGCTATTTGAAGTGTTGAAGCATCTTGGTTTGTCGCTTAGGTTACACTAACTTAGGTTCGCTAGCCTTTTTTTTTCTGCTCTGTTAACCATTGGAGCAGTTGAAGATATCTGACAATATTCGCTGTTGCTGCTGACCAGTATTGGTTAATGGACACTTCCAGGATTTTGGAACTGATTTTTCTGAATCTTTAATATCTGTTTTGAGTCCCAAACAGAGGCGACAGTACTAGGGAGTTTCAGAGGCTTCAAATGTTTTATTTAAGGTGAAGAAGCATAGCTTTTGGTTGCAATCGGTCGTTTTCTGGCTAAAATATAGCTTTTAAAGTGGTCAGACATGGTTTTTTATAGTTTGATCTTTAGATTTAGTTTCAACTTTTAAACTTCTAATTGAATTTTTGGTTTTTTATTTTGAAACTAAGAAAGAAGAGCTGAGAGGCAACAGAAATGATAGAAAAACGATCTTTATTACTTTTTATTAACCATTTCAGACGGGATAATGACCATGATGATAGGTAATAAAATGATAGTGGAGCAGCTTTAGAAGTAAATTAAGGAGGCAGTCGTTGATAGACACTAAAAAACTTTTTTTTTTTGTTTATTTATTCAGTTGTCTATTGTCTTTTGTTTCATTTTTATCTCATTTTTTTTCTCACAATTATTGCTCTTTATATTTTTTATAAGAAAAAAAGGGAAAGGAAAGAAAATGAAGGGAAAAAGACGAAGAAAGAGCAGTGCTAAGACTTTTACTGATTGAATTTTCTAATTTGTCGTTACATTTTAATATTTGACTATATAATTATATTATGACAATTTAATTAAAGTTTGTTGCAGCTTTGCTCTGACTGCTGTTATTATTATTATTGTTTCCTGCGAAGTCAGCACTTTTTTTTCTTCTTATTGAAGATTTGCCACTATAACTATTGTCTGGGGGGATGGTTGTTGGTGATGGAAATGTTACAGCTGCTTCATTTGTACCGCTCCTAACGTTGCTGCTACGCCTGATGTTCATCGTAACACTGCTGATGTTGCTGGTGCTGCTGTCTGATGCAGCTGCCGCTGTTGATGATGTTGGTGGTGACGGGGATTACCTGAAACTATAAGTTGGCAGACTTCTTTTTATAGTGCTTTTCTTTTCCCATCGTTCCTGTTGACTTTGCCGTTGCTCTCCAATCAGAACGTTTTATTGAAATTAACTGACCAAATAAAACAGATTTTTAAAGCACTAATTTTATTAGTAGATTTTATTTTTAGTTTTATTATTGTTGTTATTTGCCAATCTGTTAATAAGCATCGTTTTTGATAGTAGAAAACAACCTCATTGGTTATCGCTTTCAGGCTGTTCGATTTTGTTGCATTAGACTAAGAATAAGCATTTTTTCTTATTATTTAGGAGAGCAAGAAAAAAGATATGTGAACAAAAAACAATTTTTGAAAAAAAATAAGATAAAAGGGAAAAGTGCTTTTTTTTGCAATTTTTTAGTTAGCTAAAAGTCGTTTATATAGGTAGATGATGCACTTTAATTTTGAATTTATTTTTTTGTTCTCTCATTCTTCTATACATTTTTATTCTTTGATTGTTGTTAATTTTATTGCTAAGAATGCCTACAAACAATGAAAGAAAAAAAAAGAATGAATAGGAAAGTATAAAGT